CACTCAGAAAGGCCCTGGTCCGACCGGGATTCGAACCCAGGACCTTCTTGCTGAGAGGCGAGAGTGCTATCCACTCAGCCACCGTGTCGCCCAAAAAAGTATCTCCCTCTTCACTTCCAACACGTACATTAAAGAACTGTCTATATTTGACAATGGATTGGCAACACAATATAACTACCTTTATGTTTTGATGTCAGGGTTTGAAGACAGAGGTAATTATCCAACGCTATTGTGTGATAAAGAAGAACTGAACTTATTGAAATGTGGATTTATTAACTAAGCACGTCTTTCTTCTATTTTAACAGTAGAATACATAATTATTGATGAGGCTGATCGTATGATCGACAGGTAACTAGGGCTTTTAAAGTACAGTATGTAATATTTGCATGTCAAGTCATCATTAAATGGCCCCAATATTTCAAAAGGCGTTATTAAATCATGCTCTTTTCCAATACATCTTTAACTGATAACAGTAGATCAGAGATATTTGAAGATCAAAATTAGTTTTACGACCCGTAATAGTTGTCATTGTTTTCATTTCAATTTCCTACCCTCCGCCGTTTCACCAGTCAGAAAGTCAGAGATCCGGGTTGCCAGAACTGTTGGTTCCAAATGATTGGGAATAGAATTTCCTTGAGCCACAAGAGGAAAAACCCTCATCCAGACTCCCTCTTGTCATTCTTTTCCTTTAGCTCCATTCTCTGAGCTAAAATATGGCCGTGTTGCAGCTGAGCAGTGAGTAAAGGCCTAATAAGCGCCCTAAAGGTCAGATCATCTGTCTTACTGCACTTTTAATGGAAAGTGTGGACTTGCGCCAAGGCTTCCTTTCCCAAGGACCCCAGGTTAAGTAATGCTAAGACTCCAGTTAATAACAAAGGACTTCCAATAAAGGCGGCATCATTACGGAAAAGTGGCTGTGAGCGCTTTGACTTGGTTTGAAGCAGAAAGAAGCGACGTCGTGCTGAGACATGACATTTCACAGGAGTGGAAGGAACAGTGCTCTTTGAGAAGTGAGTCAATGAAACATTATTGAAAGCCTTTGTGTTTTTAAAATAATCTTTCATCCCCCGTCTCCTTCCACGCTGTGTGATTGTATAGCAAAGTATTTCTATGAACTTAATCACAACAGTAGTTATCTCGGAGGATTTCACAAAGCTGTCGATTTTGCCAACACAGATCAGAGAACACAAGAAATAATCAGTTTAAACACAAGAAATGCAATGGTGAACAAACATATAGAGCCTTTGGTCCATGAGGGGCAGAGGCCACTGTCCATAAATGTTGATAAAGTCCATTAATGTTGTTGAAAGTGGAGTGTCCCGTATGACCTCTGTCTTTGGACCCTCCTGCATCGGCAAGGAAAAAAACTCTAAAACCCCTGTGGGAGAATAGTGAGAAACCCCGGGTAGACCCACATTGACATTGTCCACTGCCACAAACAGACTACAGATCCAGACTCAGGTTGTAGAACGAGGACCGAGGCCACGCCATGCAGGACTGAGGCAGCTCCCAGGCTACTCCCAAAGCTAGAATGTGTCTAAAGTCTTGCCTTGTTCCCACGTAACTTGTTGGAGCAGGGATTGGTCTCTAGCTAATGCTAATGACAGCCTGATTTTGTGACTTGGCCTGATTTGGTGAAGCCCAAGCTGTCGCTGTCTGCTTGGCTTCTCAAAGGAACTGAAAACATATCTCTACCGCTCGCGAGTCCCCTGCTTTCAGACACGAACTGGAGCACCACCAACTTCCCAATGACATCACATTGAGAAAGATCAACTCTAATAATACTATAAACTATGTCTGACAAAGTTGTTTAAGACAAGATTCTGTTCTGAATATGTACGGATATTTGTGGATATTTGTTTGATATTTCTGGATATTTGTGGATATTTGTTTGATATTTCTGGATATTTTCACATCTACAAGCAATAATAAGTTAAAGAAAAGAGAAAGAAAAACCCTGTCATTTACCGCACTGCCATCTGTGGTTGAGTGGTTCGAAGAAAGTCACAGTGTCTTTCTGTTGCACGTTCTCCCTGTGTCTGTATAGAATTCCTCCAGGTACTTACAGTAAGTTTCTCCTGCTACTAAAAACATGATACATTTCTCTTTTCTAACATGTTTTGTCTTTGATTTTTCATGTTTTTAGCAATGGATCCAAACAAATACAAAAACATGTTCAATTGGAGATGAAAACACGGTTGTGCTAATTCTAGTATTTTTTACAGAAGTTGCTGTTGATGAATACACACTGTTCCTTTCAAATGAAAAGAGGCGCTTTTGGGGTGTGTCCCAATTGAATCTAATATTAAAAATCTTCTACCTAAACTGAGACTAGTTCCAAGTGTTTTGAGGGTTCTGAAAAGTACGTTATTATTATTATGTCTTATGTGTTATTTCCAATGCAGCAGTCTGTAAGCCCAAGAAAACATTAATCTCTTAATGTGAGGTAGTATACTGCTTCTCCCGATAGTGATCATTTCCTACATGTACGTCTGGTCTTACCATGTGTAAACTCTGGTCCGTGATCATCTCCTACATGTACGTCTGGTCTTACCATGTGTAAACTCTGGTCCATGATCATCTCCTACATGTACGTCTGGTCTTACCATGTGTAAACTCTGGTCCATGGTCATTTCCTACATGTACGTCTGGTCTTACCATGTGTAAACTCTGGTCCATGATCATTTCCTACATGTACGTCTGGTCTTACCATGTGTAAACTCTGGTCCATGGTCATTTCCTACATGTACGTCTGGTCTTACCATGTGTAAACTCTGGTCCATGATCATCTCCTACATGTACGTCTGGTCTTACCATGTGTAAACTCTGGTCCATGGTCATTTCCTACATGTACGTCTGGTCTTACCATGTGTAAACTCTGGTCCATGATCATCTCCTACATGTACGTCTGGGTCTGATCCTAGTGGCTGCAGTTTCCTCGGTTGAATCCCCTCCAACCAATCAGAGAGCTGGTTGTAGTTTGGTTGCAAATGCGATAGTAAAGAAATCCGTTCTTGATCGGCTCCAAATATCAATAAATAGAAGCCGGAGCAAGAGGAATGTTTAGCAATTGTCATTACTGCAAACATTTTGTGACTATTCTCCACGTCCGTTAGTGGCAAAGGAGATGGCTAAAGCTAGGCTAAATGCTAAAAGCCTGACTCACTCGGGTGCACTACATACTGTACGTCCCGGAAAACTCAGATCCAATCGTTTCAATCTGTAAAAGGAGTTAACCCCTTCCACCTGTTACTGGAGCTCAATTGAGAAAATCTAGACCTTAGTACGAAATGAAATTAGTACGATGATGTGGTAACAATTGTAAACCGCTTTGTGACTCTGGTCTGTGAAAGGCGGTATATAAAGATTACTTACTTAAGACCAGGCTACGGTAGTATAGTATGGAGTCCCTGAGTTTCTAAAACCTCACTAACCTCAAATGAATGTATTAGGATCACATTTACAATGCGTCCAATATTTCTCCGCTGTCTCCTGTGCCTGATGAAGGGTGACGGCAGTGGGCAAGGACACGGCTCTCGACTGGACTGGCACCGCTCGCTTTATAAATTCTGACCGTTTAAACCCTCTTTGCCTTGTGCAGTGTGTCACATATGATTGTCCGTCTTTGCCTGTGGGCCGGTCTAATGAAGCAGGTTTTCCGGGTGCGAGTAGCTCAAAACGACAGTGAAGTGCGACCTCATACTCCCCCTATATCTCGCTCCACCGCGGGCCGCCATGACCCAATTTTAATGATCGGCGGAGGGCCCTGAGGCTGGATTAGCTGCTCTATACAGCCCACATGAAGAAAGCAAGTGCTAGAATGACCTATTGTGAATGACTGACATATCTCTCTGCTCCCGGAAATTAGAAAGTCATATAACCGTGCTAATTTAGAAGAGTTTTGCCTCTTTCTCATTCGGCTCAGTTTCAAATTAGACTTCATGTACTGGCTGACAAATTGAATAGATTTGGAAGTTTCGGAGAGCTGAGGTTAAAAGAAATGAGAAAGGATTGAAATATGCCGTACAAGACTCTTTTACAGTAGACAGACAGCTCTGGACCTATATTAGTGCACTATATTAGTGCCTTTTTACGCAGTGTTTTTGCTGTTTCTGACCAAACAACACAAATACATGTTTTTTTAGTTAGTAAAGCAGGGGTACCTAACTTTCAATCCACTAAAATCCACATAATTCCATCCATTTGTTTCTGGGTCGGCCTCGATATGTCAGTGGGGGCTTCAGGAAAAGTGGGATTAAGTGTCTTGCCCAAGTAAGTGGGTAAGTAAAGTGTATTTATGTTGCGCCTTTCACAGACCAGGATCACAAAGCACTTCACATTTAAAAACATACAGTAAAAATAATCCATACAAGTTTAAAAAAACAAATATACAGTAGAGTAGTGAACACAGACAAAGGCCTGATGTAGAGTGAGACCAGAAAGCAGCGTAAACAAAAAGAAGTTAAGTTGCGACTTGACGTTTTGCAGAGACTGGAGAAGCTCATTCCAAAGACAATGAGCAACTGGAAGGTTCTGTCCCTGGTTTTAAAACAAGTGCAGGGGACCATCAACGGGTTCTGAGTGAAGGACCTGTTAAAAACTGGTTCTACTACAGTGATCCCGACAGAAGCAAACAACACACAAGGCATTAGTTTATAGTTACAGTGGGAGGCAGAACCATGCAGCTTTACATCGCTCTCTCCCAGTCACTTCTGCCTCACTGCTCCGACAAAGTGAGTTTTATTGAAAGATAAACACCTCCAACACACACAGAATAGACCCAAAAGTAAAACATTAACCCCTTGTTGGACATCGTCTTTCAACACAGTTTCACGACACCCCAATGTGGACGACGTGGAGAATTATTAGCTTGGTTTCAACACCGCAGTGGTAAGTTTCACGTTCCAATTGTAGATTTCTAAACTGAATATACTTACATTCACTTTAATGATAACCCAACAACAATTCCACGATCAGACCTCAGGCCCCTGTTGGAACCCATGATCAGACCTCAGGCCCCTGTTGGAACCCACGATCAGACCTCAGGCCCCTGTTGGAACCCACGATCAGACCTCAGGCCCCTGTTGGAACCCACGATCAGACCTCGGGCCCCTGTTGGAACCCATGATCAGACCTCAGGCCCCTGTTGGAACCCACGATCAGACCTCAGGCCCCTGTTGGAACCCATGATCAGACCTCAGGCCCCTGTTGGAACCCACGATCAGACCTCAGGCCCCTGTTGGAACCCATAATCAGACCTCGGGCCCCTGTTGGAACCCATGATCAGACCTCAGGCCCCTGTTGGAACCCATGATCAGACCTCAGGCCCCTGTTGGAACCCATGATCAGACCTCAGGCCCCTGTTGGAACCCATGATCAGACCTCAGGCCCCTGTTGGAACCCACGATCAGACCTCAGGCCCCTGTTGGAACCCACAATCAGACCTCGGGCCCCTGTTGGAACCCATGATCAGACCTCAGGCCCCTGTTGGAACCCATGATCAGACCTCAGGCCCCTGTTGGAACCCACGATCAGACCTCAGGCCCCTGTTGGAACCCACGATCAGACCTCAGGCACCTGTTGGAACCCATGATCAGACCTCAGGCCCCTGTTGGAACCCACGATCAGACCTCAGGCCCCTGTTGGAACCCATGATCAGACCTCAAGCCCCTGTTGGAACCCACGATCAGACCTCAGGCCCCTGTTGGAACCCACGATCAGACCTCAGGCCCCTGTTGGAACCCACGATCAGACCTCGGGCACCTGTTGGAACCCATGATCAGACCTCAGGCCCCTGTTGGAACCCACGATCAGACCTCAGGCCCCTGTTGGAACCCATGATCAGACCTCAAGCCCCTGTTGGAACCCACGATCAGACCTCAGGGCCCCTGTTGGAACCCACGATCAGACCTCAGGCCCCTGTTGGAACCCATAATCAGACCTCGGGCCCCTGTTGGAACCCACAATCAGACCTCAGGCCCCTGTTGGAACCCACGATCAGACCTCAGGCCCCTGTTGGAACCCACGATCAGACCTCAGGCCCCTGTTGGAACCCACGATCAGACCTCAGGCCCCTGTTGGAACCCACGATCAGACCTCAGGCCCCTGTTGGAACCCACAATCAGACCTCGGGCCCCTGTTGGAACCCATGATCAGACCTCAGGCCCCTGTTGGAACCCACGATCAGACCTCAGGCCCCTGTTGGAACCCATGATCAGACCTCAGGCCCCTGTTGGAACCCACGATCAGACCTCAGGCCCCTGTTGGAACCCACGATCAGACCTCAGGCCCCTGTTGGAACCCACGATCAGACCTCAGGCACCTGTTGGAACCCCATGATCAGACCTCAGGCCCCTGTTGGAACCCACGATCAGACCTCAGGCCCCTGTTGGAACCCATGATCAGACCTCAGGCCCCTGTTGGAACCCACGATCAGACCTCAGGCCCCTGTTGGAACCCATGATCAGACCTCAGGCCCCTGTTGGAACCCATGATCAGACCTCAGGCCCCTGTTGGAACCCACGATCAGACCTCAGGCCCCTGTTGGAACCCACGATCAGACCTCAGGCCCCTGTTGGAACCCATAATCAGACCTCGGGCCCCTGTTGGAACCCACGACCTTCAGCCTCAGAGGCCGATCTGTCATTAGTTTTTGCATGTATTTGAAACATCGAGAGATCAGTATTTTAATAGAAAAGTGAAAAGAGCTTTGTTCTTGGCCCAGAAACACATCCACATGGAAATTACAGCATTTGCTCAAAACTATACTTTACCATTACCCGCCCGGTCATTGCAAAAAGGATGTTTTCTGTTTCCACCATAACGCACAGACATTTAAAAAGTAAAAAATATGTCAAATTATTAACACGTGTCAAAAATATATAATAATAATATTGTTATTTGTGGATATTTGTTGATAATGCTTCTTATATTCTCTTTGTTTGAGTTTTTTTCAAATAAAACAAACATGTTATAGTACAATATTATATACATTTAATACATTTAAACCTGAATTTCCAGTAATCGTAATTATGTGTTTTAAAAGCAGGCAAAAAAAGTGAAGATACAAAAATATGAAATATTTCCACATTTCCCTCTTATTACATCACTCATTTAGATAGAGTGGACACTTATTGATATTTGTAGATAATTGTTCATTTTTACGGATATCTGTGTATATTTATGGATATTTTTTGGATATTTCTTGATATTTGTAAATATTTGTTCCTATCTATGGATATCTGTGGATCTTTTCACATCTGGATCTTTTCTTTCCCCCTGCTCTCCCCTGCTCTCCCCTGCTCTCCCCTGCTCTCCCCTGCTCTCCCCTGCTCTCCCCTGCTCTCTCCTGCTCTCTCCTGCTCTCTCCCCTGCTCTCCCCTGCTCTCTCCCCCTGCTCTCCCCCGCTCTCCCCCGCTCTCCCCTGCTCTCTCCTGCTCTCCCCTGCTCTCCCCTGCTCTCCCCTGCTCTCCCCTGCTCTCTCCTGCTCTCTCCTGCTCTCTCCTGCTCTCTCCTGCTCTCCCCCGCTCTCCCCCGCTCTCCCCCTGCTCTCCCCTGCTCTCCCCTGCTCTCCCCTGCTCTCCCCTGCTCTCCCCTGCTCTCCCCTGCTCTCCCCTGCTCTCCCCTGCTCTCTCCTGCTCTCTCCTGCTCTCTCCTGCTCTCTCCTGCTCTCCCCCGCTCTCCCCTGCTCTCCCCTGCTCTCCCCTGCTCTCCCCTGCTCTCCCCTGCTCTCCCCCGCTCTCCCCCGCTCTCCCCTGCTCTCCCCTGCTCTCTCCTGCTCTCTCCTGCTCTCTCCTGCTCTCTCCTGCTCTCCCCTGCTCTCCCCTGCTCTCTCCTGCTCTCCCCTGCTCTCCCCTGCTCTCCCCTGCTCTCCCCTGCTCTCCCCTGCTCTCTCCTGCTCTCTCCTGCTCTCTCCTGCTCTCTCCTGCTCTCTCCCTGCTCTCTCCTGCTCTCTCCTGCTCTCCCCTGCTCTCTCCTGCTCTCTCCTGCTCTCTCCTGCTCTCTCCTGCTCTCTCCTGCTCTCTCCTGCTCTCCCCTGCTCTCCCCCGCTCTCCCCGCTCTCCCCTGCTCTCCCCTGCTCTCCCCTGCTC